GAGTACCTGAGAAGAGGTGAAGACACGTGACAAGGAAAAATAAAGTATATAAGTATAGAATTTAATGTGAGTCGGAATTGTAGGACACGACAAAGTGCCTTTGAAACTAGAAAGTATGCGCTTGGGTGAAAGCCAAGAAAACAACGAAATGATAAGAGTAGTAACAGTAATGGAAAGGACTGGTATGTTTGGGGGTGGTTGTAACAGCACGGACAACGAAAAGAGTCAAGTACTAAAGAAAGTGGGAGTTGGAAATACTCCAGGAATAACTAGTTAGTATACATGAGAACGATTGGGGCCTATTATGAAAACGATTAGATGCCTTTGAGAATGACCTTGGGTCAGAAAGATAGATAGAGATGAGAATGAGGTGAATTGATACCAATAAATCTGTAATATGGTTATGTTATTACCTAAAAATCAGCGGAAGTGAAACGGTAAACCAGAGAAAGTTTAAAGTATTGTGAATTAAAAGGTCACAGAACCATGAGAGGCGAGTAATTGTGAAGGATCAAATGATAATGAGTATCATAAAAAGGAGATCATGCTTGTGATAAAAGTAATATGGTAAAGATACACACTTGAGGATGCTACTTGGGAGTGAGAGGATGAGATTCTCCAGCTGTGTCCTAAGTTAGCGGATGAGTATGAGTTAATTTTGCGGACAAAATTCTAAAAGATGGGGTGAATATAACACCTCTCAATTCTAAATTAAGTGATCAAATATTAAATGAGTAATTAAGTGAAGGATTAGTGAAAATCCTAAGATTTAAGCCAAAATACAAAGAAAGGGCAAAACGGTAATTAGCCAACACGCAACCCTAGGAAGATAAAAATTGAGTAGAAGGTCTCAGATGATAGAAATAACCCTGGAAATGGATTCAGAACGAAAAATTGAGTGGACAGGCAAGTTTCAGAAAAATCAGTGAATAGTGTTTTTCGCGGGTAAAAATATTGCGGTACGATTGCACCGTAAAACGTGCCGATTGAGTTTTGAGCTCTTGGTTTCAAATATGAGTTATAAATGGTTTATTGAGTTAGGAAATATGATTTTTGATAAAATTTGATGGAATTAAGTCATTTTGGGGAAGCGTGCCAACGGCGCGCGCAGTAGCTTAAAACAGTGTTTTCTCCGAATGACTGAAAAACTCCGGATTCATATGAGCAAGTATAATTAAAGGAGAATAGTTAATGTTAAAAATTAGAGTTTCTAAATAGGTTGTGAAATTTTGGACTTTTAGTGAAAGTCGGATGAATTTTACATCGCGCGCGTGGAGGCGTGGGACCCACCCCACTTAAGCCACATCATCTTTCTACTATTCATCATCATCTCACTCTTCTCTCCCCCTTGCAAAACCGCACAAACAGCCCCTCCATCACCATTTTTATGCAAAATTTTCAATTCACCATAACTTGATCGTTTCTTCACCGAATCCAACGATTTTTGTCTTGATGGAAAACACCTTCTAAACACATTGGTACCACTCTTGAGCCTTGAAACCGTGTATTTGGGGAGATATAGGCCAAAGTCAGATTCGAATTTGTTGGGAAAAATGGAGGTTCATGGAGTCATTTGAGCTTCCATTGCTTTGAGGAGTCTTGGGGGTAGCATCTAGCCTTGGTTGTGAGTATATTTCCATCTCATTTACATGGTTTGATTGTAGTTTATTTTCATGGACCCTAGACCTTGCATGGTTGATGTGTGATGATAGAGTGCTCAAATGAAAAATGTGTATTAGATGATAATGCCTTAGAATGATGTATTAAAGCTAGAAATGCCATGAAAAATTTTGGTGAAAAAATAGATTTTAACTTAGAAGAATTTTTTGTGGTCATGATTTTGAAGTTTGAAATTTTGTTGGTCTTTGATTGGTGAGTTGTTGAATGATTGTATGTTGATAATATGAGGTTGTATGAGATGTGGAATGGTTGAAAATTCAAAGAAATCCTTTGGGATTTCATAGGGCATAATTAGGCCATATTGAGAAAAGTGAGGAATTGTGTTGAAAAAATAATTGGGATGATGTTTTGTGTAATTAAATGAAAATTAGATGGGTTGTGTGGTGGTTGGAAGGTTGGAAAACCTATAGAAAAATAATTGGAAGTGTTAAGTGTTGAAATGAACCTAGAGGGAACTATTTAGCAAAACGATGCTTAAAAGACGTAAAACGGAAAAACGACACTTGAATTAGCCTCATGGCAACGTAAGGATGAGTAATAAAATGAGAAAGAAAATTTAGAAAAATAAATCTCAAAATAACACTTGTATGGCCGAACCTCTTTGAGGGAGGGGAGGATTTTGTGGTTTTTGCGTTCTGATGGAAATTGACGTGTACTGATGATGGTACATGATTGTGTAGGTTGTCGTACGTTGAATGGAACCCCGAACAGTGAGTCGGTGGATTACCCTGGGTCCTGGACCAAGTGGGTTGAGGTAAGTGGTTGAATCAATGCAAGTATTATGCAAATTTCATGAGTTTATATGAATTTTGAGTAATTAGGGAATGTCCTCTGTGTAGGCATTCTGTTGAGTAACAAGTTTGGAAAATAAGCTGCTGTAGAGCTAGTGAAGAGGCATACTAAGGTAACCTCTTGGTACTGGGGCTTGTTCCCCTTTTCTGTTCCACCATACCCGTTGAGGGTAATGGTAGGAAGTGTATATGAGTAGTGTAGAACAACATGAGCATGCATGCATTATCATAGTGGGTACTTATGTACCGAGTCTCTGGCCAATAGACAGTTAGCCTTCGGGCAGTTTTGGACTTCCACTGGATAGGTCTCCGAGAGGGAGTTCCAGTTGACCTAGGGTCGTGGTATGTGATCCAGATAGGAGCACACTAGGAATGTCTCGGGTGTTATGGATGGTTGGGGCATCATGGTTGTGGTTCTTAGAACACACCTTGGATGATACTCGTAGGCTTATATATGCCGAGGACGTTGCGTGGTATTGGTAGCTACCATCGCACCAACAAAATCTTATAATTCCGAATTAGATAATTTAAGCGACTACACATGCCTGCCCACGACTTGTACAACAGAGGACTAAGTAACTAGGACCTTCAATTACACTTATTTTATTCTTACAGTTTACATGTTACAAATTATAATTTCATCCACTCTCTAGTTACTCCTTGCACATGATAAAATTCAATTCAATAAACACCTCACAACCAATTACCCGACTTGACAAACATCATGAGTAGAATTTCACAATTTAATAGTCTACAGGAAATCAAGTAAGTAAAACAGAACGCATCATATTCCAATTTACAATGTAGAAGAATATTCGTAAACTCACCAAATTTCATTACAACAAGAATTCCAGTAAATGTTCTTATCTTCTAAAGGTCTTAATCCATCACTATAGAGACATAAAAATTTACAGCATCAATTCATTAAACAACACAATATTTGCCACTATCTTACGGAAAAGGAATTACACTGCTGAGTAGTGCTTTTGTCTAGAGCTTATAATTTAGGAGGCACTTCTAATTAATTCTAACTATGAAGCTGACTTAAGGACACGAATAAGGATACCTAGATTCCAAGACTCTAACTACTAATTTCCATGATTACAAGAGATGTTAAGCTTGTCCGTTAATTCTGTAGCTACTGTCTAATATTTTTCTATAATTAATTGCACCCAAATCTATCCTTTACAACGTACACAACAATTCTAGGATACCAAGTGTAACAGCCCGTTGTACACCAGTATTGTTAACATTAATTATGATATTAAGCACAGTTACAATCACAGCAATTCATTTATAAAAATGCGAATAAACTTTTTCCGATTATTACGCGAGCATTTAAAACATAAAAAGCGTAATAATTAAAAACTGTGACCGTAACCGTAAACTCTTGCGAAAGACTTATTTAAACTATTTTTATAACTTACTTTACTTATTATAAGTTACTAAGGGATTCCCATAAATCCACTTAGCCAATTACAAAACTTTACGTTTTTACCTTTTCGAACATGGTTCACTCATCAATTTTCTGCGAACACACCGCTCACAACCATACCTCCTTTTCAGATTATATCTTTGTCTTACTTAATTTCCTTTTCAACAAGCTATCACACGCTCAATTCGGAGCTCATTTGCTCCGATTATCGCCGTTTGAAGTTGGATACGCAAATAGCCAACCAACCCCAAAAACAGCCCAAACCACTCACATTACTCGAATTACTGCACTCAATCCAGTCATCCATTTGCTCTCAAATTTTTATCCTACAAACTAGACATCTCAAACTTTATTTTGATATACCACACGCTCAATTTGACTGAGAAACGAAGCAGGAATTAATTTCCCCAAATCAGGTCCAGAACTGCCTCAGATGCAGTGGCACATGAGCAGTCCGCGTTCCAAAACAGTCGCATCAACATTTAATTTTCCCAGATAGATGCTAACATAATAATCATAGTGCGTACATAACGCCAAGGTACTAATCATATTGCGTATATAACGCCAAAATACTAATCAAGATGTGTATATAACACCAAAGAGTACGTTTATAGCACCGTCGTGCACGTACTAACAAGTACAGTGGAGATCCCATAGTGGCTCCTCAAGAGGGTTCCAACTGCAACCTATGCGGACTAAAGCCAAGTGTCCTATACCTTGGTACCGGAGGGATGCCTATATGATGCGTGCTCAAACGTATGCTTATATTTATTATATACTTCAGTCTCTAAGATGAATGCATAATGTGGTATGCGATGGCATGCTTGAAACACACACAAACAGACACAGGTGTAACATGATGTGCATATGCATGACTAGATCATAATCATAATAGCATACGTCTGTTGTATATTTAATACCAAGCTGCCAAATAACAAATATTTTCATAGGCAGAATTTTTCCATCATGACAAGTCCAAGGCAAAATACATATATCTCATAACAGAATACTAATCATAAGGCACATGTGAGCATCAGTTCAAAATTCTATACGCTAGCTAATAGTCACAGTAGGTCTCACCACCAAACACATACCTTGTGAGTCCAAGCATCAATTAAACAGCCAAGTACCAATCAAACGGCACAAGAATAGACCACGCTCTTAGGGAATTTGCGCACCTAATATACCATTGCACCAAATCAGAATCTCATATAATTTTTCCTATAATTCACAAACACTTCCTATGCCTCCTACTCTTGCACATAATCCGTTTTCATGATTCCCATAATAATTTAATTTGCTGACTTTATATCAATTTTTTACTAACTTGCTACATTAATAAAAGTCCAAGGTTCTTCCATGTATTCAATTCGGGTTTATCATGCTTCTTTTCCTATGATTTCAATCAATTTATCATACATCCCATGTTATTTAATTTTCTGTTTTACTATAATTTTGTCAAAGATTAACAAACGACATAAGTATAAATCCCTAAGCATTTAATTCGGTTTCTTGTCCATTAACAAGGCTTCCAATTCTTGTATTTTGATCAATTATCATGCTTCCAATGTTATTTAATTTTCTGTCCTACACTTTATTCCATTAATTGATAGTAAATGACAAAATCCCAATTTTCCTACATGCACACAGATTCGGCTTTAATAGTATCACCTAAGAAATTCCAATTTTTTTTTCTTTACATACGCTTCATACATCACATGACATAATTATTTAAATTCTTAGTGTGTTGCCCCTACGATTTACATAAATGCAAGGCTACGTAATTATCTTTCTAGCTAAACGGACAGCCCAACCATTTAAATAGCCACATACAAGTTCACAAAATTCAGATTTAGTTTACCAATTAGGTGCTTAGACTTTCTTTTAACAAATCACTAGTTGATATCAATTGACAAAGTCACAAGGTTCCTATTTGCATACTGATTCGGTTTCGTGACTAGCCCTAGAGAATTTTATTTCTTTCTTTAACATAATACTACTTTTATCACTTAGTCGTGAAATTAAATTCTACATGTTTCTATTACCCATTACCATTCTGCCTTTAAGGTTATTCCATTAACCGCTAACAATTGAAATTGTCCCTAAATTCACAATACAAACAGAATTGGTTTTTAACCCCATCTTAAGTGATTATAATCGGTTCCCTTAACAACTCCTACCCTCCTCACTCACGTATGATTTGTTCCCCTGTTAGCATGTTGATGTGCCTCTGACAAGTGTGGTTTTTCCATGTTAAAATTGATAAGAATTGGGTCATAAGAGAGTAATTTAAATACATATTTGCTATTTATATTGATTCTTTCTATATTCACCTTTTGGTTGTGTTTTTCAGGAAAAAGAGGAGTGAAAATTACAAATTATAAAAAGTCTGTTCACGCAACTCCACACGCACGGACGTATCACAGTACAAATGCCAGAGAATTGGCGCTAGTTTGCGCCAGAATGGCGAAAACTAGCGCCACCATGCCACCTTGCGCCAAAGTAAAGCACCATGGCGCCAAGTGGCGCCCAAAAGCAAGCAAATGGCGCCAATTGGCACCCAAAGACAAGAAGGAATGGCGCCAATTGGCGCCCTAATGTGAAGGACTGGCGCCGGTCCACGCAATCGGGTCCGAGTTTTCGTATTCGAGACAGTAACTCCGCGCGTATTTGCGCCAAACCCGCGCCAACTAGCACCGGGTTGCGAGAAAATTACACCGTCTTTCCGCGAGGGTATTTTTGGAAGAAGGAAAAAATAATTTTATAAATAGGATCCTTGTGCTAGACCTAGAGATAACTGATTCAGACCTAGTCTTTTGAAGGAGGCCGACGGCAGAGCTCTGAAGGATTCTTCCACAGTTCTTCTTCTTCATCTATTTCTCTGTAATTTTATGCTTTTGAATATTGAATTATTTTTAGCCATGATTATTCTTGGCTAGTTTTCTTTTATTGTAGTTAGGGTCACGAGCCCTATGTGAACCCTTGTTACGATGGATTGATTTAGTTTTATTCATTTATATAATTATCTTTGTCTCTACCTTGTGCGTATTTTCTATTTTCTTTATTAGAACTGATCAATCTGATAGTTGGGAATAGTTTGAGGGTTAGAACCCTAGATAGGAATATTGGGGTTTTGATCTTGAAAGGGGGTAGGACAACAATTGGTATGCATGCTAGGAATAGATGTGTATTTAATTGCGGATGCTTAAATTATTGCGTTCATTGCTTAATACCGTGAGGAACATTGCAAGGAATTAGGGTTCCAATTGGGGATTAAAGGGTTAACCTTGCAAGGAATTGAGGGTTAACTAATAAATATTTTTAGATAATAATTTATCCGAGTAATTATATGAATAAATATTGTGAATCAATCCAAAGTAAGAAGTGGGGATCATAAGGTGAGTGCGCTCTAGCTACAATAGTTTTCTCATATTTTTAAAATCAATTCTCATTGTTACTATTTTATTTCTCTTAAATAAAAATATAAAAACAAGTCTTTATTTTTATTTCATATTGTTACTCAAATTCAATTCACAATTTTCCAAACAACAAACCGAGTTTTCCAACTTAAGGGGACTGGTTATTGTAGTACTTGGTTTACAATCCCTGTGCAGACGATACTTTACTTACTCATTATATCACTTGTGCGATCGGTATACTTGCCGGAGAGCATCAAGTTTTTGGCGCCGTTGCCAGGGATTGCTAATTCCAATATTACAAATAACTGTTGATCTTTGAGATTGGATTTTTATTTTTATTTTATTTATTTTATTTTGTTCTATCGTATTTTGTGTTAGCAGGTGCTACTAACATATTTTTCTGAGTTTTATGCGAGGTAGACCTCCTCCTACAGACTTTGTAATTGATCCTGAAATTTCAAGGACTGAGAGGAGACTGAGGAAGGTTGCCAAGCAGATAATTTGGGAAGACTTCAAAAGCATACCTGTACAACCAAAACAAGAAATGGCAGGAAACAACAATGCTGATGGTGGCAGAGGCCACAATGCAAATAACCCACCTCCACGATTGTTGGACACCATTCTGACTCCGGTGTTCAATAGGCCAAATTCAAGTATAATCAGGCCGACGATGGAGGCAAACAATTTTGAGCTGAAGCCATCTTTGATCACTTTGGTGGAAAGGGTTCAGTTCTCTGGTTCTGAGGAGGAAGATCCTCATGAGTTCATAGATCGATTTCTGATGATCTGTGACACTACCAAGCACAATGGGGTGTTGGCCAATGCTGTCAGGCTTCGATTATTCCCTTTTGCTGTTAAGGGAAAAGCTCTCAAATGGATAGAAAGGCAGCCAGCTAATAGTATCACGACATGGGAAGACTTGTCATCAAAGTTCTTTGCCCATTTCTCTTCTATGGAAAAGTACAACCAGCTGGTGAATGAAATCACAAACTTCCGCCAACTTGAAGGAGAATCACTGTGTGCAACCTGGAATAGATTCCAGGAACTCATCCGGAAGTGTCCGCACTATGAAGGAGACGATGACAAAAAGGTGGCAATATTCTTTAATGGCATCTCTCCTGAAACAAGGTTGGTGATTAATAGTGCAGCTGGAGGTTCTATTCAGCAAAGTACTTCTGAACAAGCCATTGATTTGATAAAGAAGATGGCAATGAATGAGAATGAGAGTATACCAGCTCAATTAAAAAGAGGAGTGATAAAGCTGGAAAGCAATGATGCTATGCTTGCTGAACAAAAGCTGTTGTCCAAAAAGTTTGACAGCTTGAATGAGAAGTTTGAGAAAATGCAAGTGTCCAAGGTTCAATCAACTTATGTGGTTTGTGAATATTGTAAGGAAGCTCATGAGTCTAATGAGTGTCCTACTCTCATGGGTGATAATCCACAGCAGTTACAAGTAAATGAGGTTTGGTATGAACAGAAGCCCCAACAAAATTTTTCAAGAAATCAGAATTTTTCTTCTGGAAGTAATTTTCAGAAGAGAGGTCAAGGAGGTGGTCTTGACTACAGTTCTAACAATTACCTGCAACCTCCTCCTGTTCCACAAAAGGAACTTTCTGATTTGGAGAAGTTAATTGGACAAATGGCTCAACATTCTAATGCTTTCATGGAGGAGACTAGAGCCAATACAAAGAACACAAATGCTTTCATGGAAGAGACTAGGGCTAATACCAGAAACATGAGTGCTTCCATCAGAAATCTGGAGAATCAAATTGGCCAGCTGGCCAAGCAAGTTGCTGATAGAACTCCAGGTAGTTTCCCTAGTAACACAGTCACCAATCCAAGGGAGGATTGTATGTTTGTCACCACTAGAAGTGGTAAAGTAATAGCAGCTCCAGAAAAGCCGAAAAAAAATATGGAAGCTGAAAAGAAGAAGCTAGATACTGCAGGTGAGCCCGCAAAAGAAAAAGAAAGTGAAAAACCTGCTAAAGTGGAGAAGCCAGTTGAAAAGAAGAAGTTTGAGTTGAGTCCTGAATATGTGAGAAACATGGCACCCTATCCTGAAAGGTTCAAGAAGGATGCTCAGAAGCAACAGTATTCCAGGTTCCTTGACATATGCAAAAAGCTTCACATAAATCTTCCATTTGCTGAAGCCTTGGCTTGCATGCCTAATTATGCCAAGTTCATGAAGGACTTGTTATCAAGAAAGCATAAGCTGCAGGAATGCCAAACTGTAACACTCACTGAGGAGTGTAGTGCCATTATACAGAAGAAGTTCTCACCCAAACTCAGTGATCCAGGGAGTTTCAAAATTCCTATTGAAATTGGGGACACAAAAATTGGCAGAGCAATATGCGATCTTGGGGCTAGCATTAATTTGATGCCCCTTTCTGTTTGTAAATCTTTGGGAATCACCGAGTTGAAACCCACTTTGGCATCTCTTCAGCTTGCTGATAAATCTTTGAGGAAGCCTAGGGGTATTATTGAAGATGTTCTTGTGAAGGTGGACAAGTTCGTCTTTCCTGCTGATTTTGTAGTGTTGGACATGGAAGGGGGAGCTGAGATGCCTCTGTTGCTGGGTAGACCTTTCTTGGCCACTGCTCGGGCACTGATTGATGTTGAAAATGAGAAGCTTGAACTAAGGATGAATGATGAGACCGTTACCATCAACGTTTTTGATTCTCTAAAATAGTCTTCTCACAAGACGATTGTTTTAGTCTTGAAGTCTTAAAGTAAAAACAAAGTGATATGATCCCCAATAG